CTTTGTTCTTCTATTCTTTCTTTGGTTTCTCTTTATCCACACATTCAACAAGTTGCCATGGTTACTAAACACCCAATCACAAACTGTTGTGAGATAGCAAGTTGTGTAAAGAGCAGATGATTGTCAGAGCAAGCGGATAGCTTGACCTTGAAGCTAACGATGGCTATTATTTTGTTTTGCTTTAATTTATTTTTGTCAAATAAACCGTGGTGTTTCAAAAACAATAATGGGGGACTTACCGCATAAAAAAATGTCCGAAATATTTAATTAAACACTGCATTTCAACACATTAGACTGAAGAAAAACTATTTATAACATGTTCTTGGTACTTTTGAGGTTATGTAGGTAACATAGTTGTACATAGGTAATACCAACAATTCACGCATAAAAGCACCCGTCAACTAAACTGACATGAATTGTTAACTTCTATGGCCGGAAACTAAACATTCAAGTTGAATCCTGTCGAACGTCATTCGCCCGTGACGATATGACTTGTCCCACTGAGACCGGGCCCGACCATCCGACGGCCGATCCAACCGAAGCCGAACTAGAGGGAGTCTACTAGTAGCTTTATGGAAAAATAGGTGTTATAAAAAAAGTTGATTTTCCTCATACATTTGTAAAAAGGTACCATTCATGGAGGCACGTACTATCAACGTTTTTTTTTATTTTTTTTTGTATGTAGATCTTAAATAAACATTGTAGCATCATCTCTGTAGTAGGATTTTCTTACAATATTATTTTAAATTTTAAAATACAAATTAAGGCACAAGTAAAGGCAATATTGCAGCACTGAAGATGGTTCGAAGGAACAAAGAATGTCAGAAAATATTTCAAGAACTGGGAACTAACTGGGTTGTTCCAGATGAACTGTTCAATTGCCTACAAAGGTTTGTGTGTAAACTTTATGGAGACTAACAGGAAACCAATAAAGTAAACCAGTATAGATATAAAATGTTTTGTTCTAAGAAGGGTGAAGTTGATCCCCATCAGCTACCACCATGTGACGACTGCCTTTTAAAACACACTCGACGGGCCAATTAGTATACCAGACTGCAGTTTGGAAAAACTGTATGAAAACTGATGAAATTCCAAGTCTTATTGGGCATGGGTGGTTAGTGAAGGAGACAAACGAATGAGACGAAAAAGGGATTGATTGGATGGAAGGACTTCCAGCACCTCAAGCGGTCATTGAAATGATATCTTGTGATTGCAAAAGAATTTTCAAAGAAGACCAATGTCCCTGCATAGCAAATGGCTTGAAGTGCACTCAGCTTTGTAAATTGGCAACTTGCACAAACCAACCTGACGACGATGAAGATAAAGTTACAGAAGAAGAATATGAGGAACTGTTTTATTAAATTACTAAAACTACTTTATTTCTAACCCAAACACCTGTAAAGGGCATACACTGACATATTCATTAAAGAAATAATTAAAGAATTCAATATCTATAATCTTGTGTTCTTTACCAGTTATACCCTATATAATGCCATAACATTATAATTATATAAATATAATATACAATATATATATATTACAAATATCAATAGGTATGTTAATTTGGTGCTAGACTGGACGGGCTCATTTGAGACGCACTTGATGTTTTGAAGCATGGAGCCAGAACGCACTCCAGTCCATATAGCGAATAAATAGTAAGACATACGGACAAAAATAAATATGCTTTGTTTTAGATATTGGACAAAAGAACAACATTTACATTAACAAAATTTTCATTGGAACGTTTTTTATCAATCTTCATGCCAAAAACATGTTGTTCAAACAAAAGTTTTGATATTTTCAAATTTAAAATGATTTCTTTAAGAAAAAGCTTCTACATGGATAATGCTATAATGTAAGTTTATGATCTACATACAAAACTCAATAAAAAAACATACAAGAAAAACTTTGATAGCACGTGCCTCCACTTTGACTGGGACCTTTTAACAAATTTATCAGAAAATTTAAATTTGTTGAGAAAAAAAATCCTTTTTAAAATATGAAAACCTATTTTTATATAAAGCTACTACTTATGCATTGCTATCACCTTAATGTAAACATAAAACCATACAAAAAAACATGGATTGCACGTGCCACCTTGACTGGTAACTTCTTACAAAAATATGAGACAAAATTCAATTTTTTTTTAAATTCAATTTTGTTATATAAAAACCTACTTTTGTACATAAAAGCTACTACTTATGTAATGCTATCACATATATTCTTGATCTACACATAAAGCTATACAAGAAAAACATTGATAGCACATGCCACCTTGACTGGTACCTTCTTACAAATAAATGAGACAAAATTCAATTTTTTGAGAAAAATTCAATTTTGTTATATAAAAACCTACTTTTTTACATAAAGCTACTACTTATGTATTGCTATCACATATATTCTTGATCTACACATAAAACTATACAAGAAAAACAATGATAGCATGTGCCACCATGACTGGTACCTTCCCACACAGGAGACAAAATACAATTTTTTGAGAAAAAATTCAATTTTGTTATATAAAACCCACTTTTTTGTACATAAAGCTACTACTTATGCATTGCTATCAAATATATTCTTGATCTACACATAAAACTATACGAGAAAAACATTGATAGCACGTGCTACCTTGACTGGTGTCTTCTTACCAATGTATGAGACAAAATTACATTTTTAAAGAAAAAAATTCAATTTTATCATATAAAACCTACTTTTTTGTACATAAAGCTACTACTTATGCATTGCTATCACATATATTCTTGATCTACACATAAAAATATGCAAGAAAAACATTGATAGCACTTGCCACCCCAGGTGGTACCAATTAAGGTCATTTTTAGGTTTGGCTCATGGACTACAGTATTCAATACACGCAGTTGGTTTACTTCTTCGCAAGTTAACTCCGCAATGCTCTGTATACTATATTAAAACCAGGGATAACGTTACTTATAATTGAGACTTTTTGAAAACCAAAAACCAAAGCAAGGATTTTTGCATCAAGTGCCAATATTGTCTTCCACAACTGGGAAATGGAACAAAAAACCATAAAATATTACTCATTGGGCTAATAAAACTGTTAATTTGATATAGTACTTATACTGTATACTTCCCTACAAACGGATGGTCGCTTGGTAACGTAAAGGACAAACATTGTATTTGATATACATCGATGACAACAACCAAAGCAAACAGAGAGACTTTTTAGACAAACGTATGGTGTGCAGGAATATCCATCTTAACAAATAAATAATTTGATTATTTAGGTTGTTTGAATATTAAAAAAAGTTGTTTTACATTTTGAGCTCTTTAGGGACTTATATCCCTACATGCCACTAGTTTGTTATAATATTTAATTATTGCTCACACATTTCACATTAAGTCACATTTAATTTTATCAATGTCAACTCATCTCTCTTGTAAAATGGCGTTTGCCGAGCATGTAATAAAAAAAAACAAATTTATGTTTTATGGTCGAGTAATAAAGTAGATAAATATATGTCAAAGCTTGATATGAAATCTGTGATATGAATTATACTAAAATTACGGGAAAACGGTTAGATTGACGATAAACATGTATACGATATTTTTTGTAGGAAACTTAGTTTTAATAACAACAAGCTATTATTTTACCGAATTAGTCAACTTGTACGTAAACTAGACGTGTTTTAGTAAAACCATGCAATTGCTGAGGGGGGGGGGGAAGAGCACCGGGGGGATTTTTAGGCACTTTTGGGAAAATGTATATCTAGTTGGGTACTAACGATTGTATATAGTTTTGCTTGTCACTAATTTGTTTAGACACAAAACCTTTATTGACTGGGCTAGAAGTGATATTGCCGCAACCCCTAGGTATAGCCTCGAGTAACGTGAAAAAATCTCGAGCTCTGACGTAACGTCTTAAGACGAAAAATTCTAACGTTATTGATTTGTTTAAACAATTACAGCTAAGCACGGAGCGATGCACTGTATTCACTAATTTCAGAGCTCAGATTGATACATTCACTCTGCCCATCACTGTATTGACGCGCCACTCGTCCTATTTGCGCGATCAAGTGGAACCCCCTCCCACCCCCCATTTAAATGCCTCGTTTATCCCTTAGGATTTTAAATTAATAATAAACACTTTTTCCTTGTGGACCCGTTATTAGTCAACTCATACGTATACCGATTTCTATAACATAATAAGTGCATTAGATGTATACGGTGAAATTATTTAACGATAAATAAATGATAAATAATCTCGAACTTTATATCATACTATGTATTGCTTTGAGGTAAAACGACGAATAAAGTATTTTAAAAGTGCACAAAACTCGTTATTCGTTTTTCGGTTGCAGTTTTGCATATTAGGAAATCGGAAGATTTTTTATTTCATACTCATTTACTGAATACTAATAATGTACTCCACAGTACAAAAATAATACAGTAAATTGGTGGTTGCCATTGTGTTTTAAAGTGAGTGAAACAGTGTTTATGTTTCTGTTTACATTGGTACCAAGTTTATTCTAAGCTACCATTCCTGTCGTCAGTAAGGGCGTTTGACTGAAATTGTTTGTAATTTTTTTGAATAAACATCGTCAAAACTATCCCCGTGAATCGTAGTTTTTGTCACCAGTAAACAAATTGGTCGCATATCAACAAAATACATTGGGTTTTCTGTGAAATTAATATCTATAAATCATTGAGTTATTTGTTATGAATTTAAATGTCCTCTACATGCTGAGATTCCGGTATAAGACAACATTTGTTGTTGGAAAAGTAGCCTCATTAGTTTTTTGGGAGTTTTCTTCACTAATTCAAATTTGTAATCAGTTCTCAGTAATCAGTTTTTAATCAGGGTTTGTCAGTTAATTAAACTATTTTTATTATTTTATTGCTGTGTCTATGTAAACATGTATTTAGGTTTCATATTTTGTTTTCTTTTTATTATTTCTCGTTACGTCTGTTGATAATGTTTCTTTTTACAAGTGAAAATTTAGGTAGTGGATAAATATAAAACATTTAACAACATGAAACAGTTTATTAAGAACACATTATAGGCCATCGACCATTCAGTACATAAATATACTTTACTATGGAACAACAACTGTGACTGTACACTCTTATCTTGACACAACATAAACACCATCTCTGATTCGCTTACATCACTAGTAAATCCAATAAAAAAATACACATTTGAAAAATAACTGTTGTTACCAGGACAATTGACACAGTGTACACTATATAAAATTGTGTTACTAAAAATTACGTTTAAACGTGTACGTAAAATGGTTTTTAGTTCAAATCAGGTTTTAATGGTATAGTTTTTTCTTAGTATCTTTCCCGTTTAACTTAGCCGTTTAGGAACAAGGTGTTTGACGGTCGAATACTACTGAAATTACAATTTTATATTGACAATATACATTTATTTACGGTTGTACTTCAGTTGACGGCTCAGATTGCTTAGAAAATAAAAGGAATTTTGAGTTATACACATTTTTTATCATATGTATGTTTATTTTATAACTTCAGGTATTTTAAATATGGTTTATAATAGTAATAATACAATGTGGTAGTAGTACAGCACCATAATGAATCAGATAGGATGTAGGAGTAATATTTCTAAAATAAAACATATTTTTGTAAGTAGATATTTCCAAGTCCTATGTTTTTTTTACTACAAGCTCATGAGATCACCCGATGTCTGGCCAGATAATAATACTAGAATGTGGTAATCCAGTCCTGATATGTAAACGGGCACATTATTCACATTGACTTAATATACACATAAAAACTTTAAGTTTTAAGTTTAAAATATTTATCGATTAGTTTTTAACCAGTGATGTAGTTATTATGGTCCCCACCTTCGTTCTGTGCGTAATACCTTTGAATATATAGTCAATGGTAATACTAATGCATTACGAAATTGCACAGTTAAGGAGTTAGTTCTATAGTGCTTTGTTTGAAAAATATACTTTCAGAGTAATCAGTTTTATTATTTTTAATCCCTTATTTAAGAGTATTTGTTTAAATATTGGTAAATTGAATTCGACACAACTCGACAGAATAAATTCCCTGTTTGTAAATTGATATTTTTTCATTAATAATCCTTACAAAATCATTCAGTTAATATACTATTTTATGAGTACGAAAACAAACGGCGAACTAGTGATCCCAGTCCACAAATGTTTAAAATAGGTCAATTTTAGAGTAGGTAACCCACAAGAATGAAATGTTGTCATTTGATAATCGTAAAAGCATTGTTCTATAAATATAAATTATCTCGATTACTAAATTTCAGAGATAAACATAGTCATGTACATGCTGGATTGACACATATTGTTATAATTCCAGTTAGATACAGGTCCGTAAGTGTACAGATAGCATTGTTGTTAGTGCAATTTGATGCACAATGATGTTTAAATCGACTGTTATAATTTTCTTCACAAGTAGTAAATGTGGCATCAACAATGTTAGGTATATCTATTTGACCAATACATAAATAATTATGAATTGTATTAACTTTGAAATGGAAATAATTTTTTAGTTTGTCAACTAACGTAAAAAAATCATAGCACTACTGAAATTATATTTTATCTTACAAACCTAATTCAACTATGGACGCAAGCCATTGATTGTTGACTGTTAACAAATTGTTGTACATTATTATTTGTGTTTCAGATCACATCGATTGAAAATCTTAACGGTGTCACGATACTTTTTTTATTTGATGAATGCTGTAAGTATTTTGTAGCACATTCCATCCATTAATCTAAGGTTTGTACAGTTGCTGGTTCTATGGAACCACTCAGTGGTTAATACATACTCGCATCAACATGAAACTATCTCTGTCCTAAACGACCACTATGAACACTCTAAAAGTCAGTGACAGGTCTTTTCTGTACCCAACTCTGTATGGCTGGCAGTGCGAAGATTCGTTCCTTCAACGCCTGAAGGTGAGGGTAGGCCTGCAGCGAGTCTTTGCCGAAGATTATTTCAAAGTTTTCTAGAGAAACAGCAAATACGAAGTCCGTCCATGTTACCTGCAGAAGTAGGTGTATCAAAATACACTTAAAAGAAGTATCTAGGATAGGTAAAACAAAATTAATTCGGACAATTGCACACATATAGTGTTAATGACTGGCTTAGTTGTAATTCCATAAACTGTATGATAAAGTTGGTTTCTTTGCAGCTGTAATAACCTTGCCATCTTTTGGACTCCCTGATTGAGATATATCAACTACAACAAAACATACAACCGTCTAAACTAAAACAAAAATGTAAATGCACTTTTTTTAATATTTATTTCTTTAAATAAATATACAAAGGTGATTTCTGTTTTACATTAATGAATACTAGAAGTCGAAGTCGTCAAGTGGTCGAAAACTAGACCAAATATATAATGTACAGACTTCTCTATTTTTACCCCACGCTGTAAATAAAACAAGTGATTGGAATTTCTAGCATTTGTCTCGATTATCTGTTTATTTCGTCAGCAGCATGGCAAACCATAAGGCACACGTAATTTTTTTTGACAAATAATTAATTAGTTGTGATTATTTTTTAGTCTATTTAAATTTGTAAAGGGGTTCTGCACATCTACAGTAAAATATCTTTCTAACAGTATGCGAGGATTTTTCCTGCAATGCACACAAGCTCAGAAAAAAGTGTTTGAAGGATCATGGAGTGATATATAGGATTGCCTTTTCTAATTTTAAGGTTAAAACGTATCTATTTTTTAAAAGTGTACATATGTCTTTGTATTATTTTTGGGTCAATATTGTGTAAGCTTGTTATACTTTACAAATCGAATGCATGTGTGAGGTACGCACCGAGCTACCCACGGAGTAGCCACCGTTCTCAGCGATGGCCTTCTCGAAGCGCTTGAGGTAAAAAGGAATTGTGTCCTTCAGGAGTGTGGCGCGTCGTTCCTCCTTCTTGATGGGGTCTTGCTCGGAGCGATACAGCCACAATACTACAGAAAACAACGAAAATAGCCAATACTACATTCATAACAACCAGCGTTATTCGTATACAAATTACGTAGTCAAGCACTCGTTTTCTGTTAAACAACAACAAAAATAATGTTTAGTATTTAAATGATAATGATAATATAATGTAGTAATTTGATGTTTATTTTTAATTCAAAAAGTGCTGACATTTTTTATTATGTTTGGTAAATGACGAAAATTCACGACGTCTCGGGATCTGGAATCTGGCCCCCAGCCAAAGCTGAAAAATCACCAACATCCTCACATTGAGAACTGTGCATTATTGTAGTTGTAAATACTCCCGCCACAGCAAACCTGCAGACTAAGCGAATTTCCATTTGCCTGATTGGATTTACACTAAAATTTCTCCTTAAAAATATCATATTCATTCCTTATCTTACTACCCGTTCGACTAAATGTTGGTTTACACGTTAATACCAAATTTCATCAAAATCTGATCATTTTTGCTCGAGTTATCGTGCTAACGGATATATATATATATGAATTTGAACGAATGGTTTTTTTGGCCTCTAGGGACCTCAAAACGAAAAAAAATTGGTCCCGCATCCAGCTCTTACCATGAGTACCAAAAGTACCATGAGTATTGAGTACCATGAGTACTACGGTAGTAGCTTATTCCCTATATGGGAAATTCGCTAAAAAAAGTACAACTGAGCACCCTGAATATTATATTTTTAGTAGAAGTTACATGTTTCGGACATTCAAACTTCCAATAACATTAAATACTTAACTTTTGTTTACATTGTTTGTTTGTATATGAATATTATATAATATATATTGCATATATTATATATTGTATATATTATATATATATATATGAATTTGAAAGGTTGGAGTTTTTGGCCTCTAAGAACCTCAAAACTAAAAAGTAAATCGGTCGGATCAGATTCCACATTCCTGCGGGTCGTCATGGAACATGTCCACGACATTAGCATTAAATAGCATTAAATTAATTTACTGTATCTTAAAAGTGACTTCAAAGAAAAGACCCAATTTTCATCCAACAAAGGAAATGCGCGTCTTGGTACATATTAAAACAATTGTGTTTCCAATCATATAATCCATCGGCAAACCTATCTGAGTAATACATTTCACGTTATTCGTTGCTTCTAATGATACATACAGTACATCAATACATGCTTGAGTAAGAAGTTGCGTTCCACTGTATTAGTTGATGACCTGTGTTATAGCAGTATTATATGAGTATTTGATAAATGCTGTTGGTAGTTTACCCTGCTTCAGGTCCGCCAGGGTGTCAACCATGACGTCGCATTGGAGAGCCTCTTTCTCGTCTTTGCCCGTCAGCTGATACTGCTGGGCGAGGTAGCGGGCGATGGCGTTGGACTGACCGATGTATTTGCCATCCATCTCCAGCACCGGCAACATACCGAACGGCATACCTACGATCACAAAAACACTTACAATAAGCGAACAGGTAGTAATAAGAAAAGGGGAATGATAACACTTAGAGATGTACAGATATTTAATAGGTAAAACCATTGACTTTTGAATATTCTCGTATACTTGCATCTATACAGTGTGTTACTGTATACAATTATATTTTCGCCCTAAGGTTTGGTTACTGTGATAATTGATATATATTGATTGAAATGTATTATGATTCAAGTACTATGTCTTTCCTTTATCAGAGCACCAGAATCGTTTACTCTTATACTGCACTAGTGTAGGCCTATTTCTTGCTAGATTTGAAATCTCAAGAAAAGACTCGATTTCGTGCAGGACGATCTAGACAAGGTAGAAATAGTGCGTTATCTGATTTTGCTGAAATTGGTTACAAACGCGAGATTTCTACATTATACAGCGCATCTTTATATCTACAGAACCACCATAATCGGACAATGGGAACGGCATTTTATTGGGTAGGGGGGTATTGGATAAAATTGGCTTTCCCCATGATTGACCATGAAACATAAAAAGTTGTAACTTATTACTATTTATTTTGTAGATCTTAAAAAATTGTATGTTGAAGCACTTGTGTATACCTACTGCTTTCGGAGAACATAAAAATGGTGTACATGTTGCTCGAATTCGAGCAGTTACAAAGTATTGCAGCAGTTATTAGCCTGATTTCCCCTAGTCAGATTTCGGTAGATTCTTTTTGTGTTTTGTGGAGGTATGAAAGTAAGGAGCTCCGTTGAGAAACCTTTTGAAACAATTTTGTTTAAATTCCACTATTCAATGACTGGACTAAATGGGGCCAACCTGACTAGCTAAAAGTCGTAATATTTCGGCAATTTCTATTTTGATCTTTTTAAACTTGGTATTGTTTGATAGGGAATTAAAAATGCTAAATAAAAGTGTTCTTGACATTTTTTCATAAAATAAGCCATTTTGAGTCATTTAAGTTTAAAAAATTAAAATGGCCGCCATTTTGAAATCTCAAGTTGAATATAGTTTCATAAAGATCGGTTGAAAAAAAATCAAAGATAAAAATGTTTATGTCAAAAATACAAAATGGCGGATATCTGGTTCACGAAGCGATTTTGGAAAAATGTTATTTTTCATTTTCTCTTTATTTTTACCCAAGGAATCAATAAGTTAATTATTTCCCCAGCTTTTTTTAACACCCTGTATTATAGAAGACTAGCTGCTGTACCCGTACTTCGCAACTTTTGCACTCGTGTTACACATTACATTTTTCCTACAGTCACTATAAAGCATATAAATGATTAGTCTTTCAAACACTATACAACACGTTTTTAGGTTCAGCTGGCAACACAAATGGTGCCCTAGAGAAAGCAGTACCCGCGGTCCGTATCACTCCGCTATTTTTCCTCGGCAAGAAATGTGCTCCGCGTTTTGAGAATATAGTTCCGTATGTTTTTGTAATTTGAAGTGGTTTCCACGCAAAAAAAGGCTTTAAAGGTATTTTCTTGTTTATTAAGATCGTAGGAATGTTTTAAAAACGTTTAAAAGAAAAGTCCAGAAAGTTCAGAAATACCGAAACGATAACAAGAAATGACAGGTTAAATCGTAGTTATAATAGTCAATCAGCTGCTTATAGTATTATTATCTTTAAGTGTTGCCAACCTATTTCTAAGCGTACATGGATTACGTGTATAATAGAACCACGCTGTTTTGTGTTGTTTCGTTGGAATCCTGATGTGCGGCAAAGTATAAACCGTACGACAAAGTATAAACCGTACGGCAAAGTATAAATAATATGCAGCAATTAGCAGCTTTCTGTACTATAAAACAGTACAAGGAAGCCAACTTTGTCGGGTGACTATAGGAAAAATATATTTAGTTTCTTTGGACCAGCTGTCTGAAATCATGAATTAGGGCATTTGGCAGTTCTGATGTTTACATTAGAATGTCAACGCAAAGGTAAACATTGTGAATTTTCTCATGCTTCCATGGAGACCAATTAATATTTTTTGAAAACCTCACCTCAAAACTGTGGACATCCAAGGGGCGTAGCCCAGCCAAAATTAAGCACAAAGATGGTCCACATATCTTGGAATGTTATAGGCATCATATGAAGTGAACTATAATAGACCTATGACATTCCTAGATATGTGGACCATATTTGTGCTTAATTTTGGCTGTAATGGTTTCGTATTTTAGTCGTGACAGCTGCCCAGACAGACAGACAGACACCACCTCAATTTTATAACGGTAATAGATAGACGTAATTTTTACTTCCTATCGAAGATAAACTATAATATAGATAAAGCAATTTCACATGAATAAATAAACTACCCTAACATACTTTAGAGTACAAACATGTTTAATTAAAATATTTTAGCACGACGTAAAGTCATGCAACACGAAGAGGTGAATCACGCAAAGAGAAACATTATCCGCACTAGGATTATATTATTATAATAGCATAAGCACTGTATGTTGTACAGTTGGGTTGTACCAGGATAACACACATACATAGGCTACTTGTATACTTGTCAATAGCAGCATTCTTCTGACTGTATGTATATGCATACCTTTGTCTATAGTTTATTCCTCTGTGTAACACAGATGAAAAAGTTTTCATAGCCGAGAACCTAATACAATAAGGGGTTTCTCTTTACCTTTTAGCGAATTTCCCTATAGGGAAGTAGCTATTACCGTAGGTCTCATGGTAAGACTTAGGCCCGGGAACGATTTACTTTTTCATTTTGATGTCCCCAGAGGCCAAAAACATCATTCGTTAAAATTTATATATATATATATATATATATATTAGATATATATATATGTCCGTGAACACGATAACTTGAGTAATTTTTGTCCGATTTTGATGAAATTTGGTTTAAAGGTGTAAGGCGGGATAAACTTGAATGAGTTCACGAACCAGCATGATCGGACTATGGGAACGGGGCTTTACGGGGGCTTTTATGGGGTAAAATTGGTTTTTCTCACTTTTGACCCTAAAAATACAAAATTTCCCAATTTCTCTTCAGACATTTTTAAAGAGCTTAAAAAAACAAATAATTTAGTATATAAAAGTACTTTTGTACGGTTATTGGTAACGGAGAAAACTAAAAAAATTGTAAATTTAAAATTCCAATGTTATTCGTATGGAGAATATTGTACAATGTTGCAGTTTGCTTGTTTATGGATATATTTTGATCAAACTTGGCAAATTTATTTATTTTATACTAAGCTATTAATATTTTACCAAAAAACACACTTTATTAGTTTCCTTGTAGGGGCAAACCTAGGAACATGTTAAAACTAGCCTAATGTTTTTTTAAATATATTTAGGCCTAATTGAAAATCAATTCAGACATATGGAAATTCGCTTAGTCGGCAGGTTTGCTGCGGCGGGGGTATTTATATACATTTTCACCCGTCTTACTTAATCGATTTTCGCGATTGATAAAACTCATTTTAAAGAGTTTGATGGCAACTAAAATATCTTGATATTCAACAGGAGATCCTCAAATTGAATGTTGGACCACAGCCAAATTGTAAACAAGAGTTTTTTTTTACTGAATATGCCGGTATTTATAATCTGTTCAATTCGTTATAAATTAATAAATCGCGGTTAAACGGAACCCCAAGAACTAAACCCGCATGAAAATAATACGTAAAAAAACTTAAAAACCCTTTAGGTGGATTTCTGAGGGACCTTTTAATATCATATACATGTTGGCACTCACCGATATGCCGATATGGTATTTTTTCGCTACGATATGCAAAATTGTATAACGATTGCTTCCATCTAGGAGGAGATTGCGTATGACAAAATGTATAAAAATTTACGTATACGAACTGTCTGCGCTCGCTTAGTTCAATAACCATGATAATTTCATAAAATTTAATAATCACATTTAATAATATTTAATAAGCCCTATGATCATAACACGTATCACTGGGAAGAGAGATTTCAAGTAAAACAAACAGAGTTAAAATAAATATTTATAAATTCACTAGAAATATCAGAGCCTTTTACTGAATAAGTATACAATGGACATACTTTTTCTAAACAAACAGTAAGGGTTATTCTCTGTAAAACAGTACGCCTCCCACCCTCCCTCCACCTTTTGATATAATTTTATATAAAGGTCACCTTTGAAAATCCAGTGCATTGCAATTTTACAGAAATAACTGACCCTTAAGTTGAAAGTTTAACCCCAGTCATGATTTTAAACAAAAGGCAAAACCGTTCATTAATGGATTTTAAATAGGCTGCTTTTATTGGTAATTGTAGCATATTGAGGAAGATGCATCACTATTTATGGTATACATAATACACAATCAACAAAGTTAGTTTATTGACAAATTAGTTGTTTTATTCACCTAATAAATATCTTTAAAAAACATAATCTTTGAGAACTAAAAGGTCTCTGAAAGAAGATTAAGGAATCCGATTAAAATGTATGATTTGCGCACGGATCTCCTCGTGATAGTTATTATTCAGCCCTCATGAGTGAAATATATCACTCATAATTAATTACCGGTACGCAATTGACCCAGATCCGATCACAGATTATTTTACCTATCTAGTTCATTGATAATTTAATTGAGAGGGATTCCCGTTTTATACAATACTAATCACAAAGTATCATGAACTATAAAGACATCCAGTTTGTACTGTTCTATTAGCTTTAGGAAGGAGGATTGTGCTATTAAATCTTAGCGGTTATACAAACCTCTCTATTACATAAGATATGCTACATGCAATTTTAAAAACGTATGTTATTTTTAAAACTTCAAATTTTTCAAGAATTCAGCTCAGTGACTTGAATGATCTTTCCAAAATGTGCCTAAAAGGGTTAAGTATTAATATGAAACAATATATTTATAGTTGTATTCACTTCCACGGCTGTTGTTTTGTAATTAATTGTGTAGGTACTAGGTAGTGGTAGCCGAATCATCCATTTGCGCATTTCAATAAGTTATATAGTATGTATATATGTCACGAAAAAAACTCACTCTTTTTCAGCTCTGGCCATTTCTCCTTGGGTACCCGGTAGTCTTGATAGTCAACTCCGGCGTAGGCAAAGATGAAGCGAATATGTTCGGCGCGACCTCTGGCGTTGAAGTATATCAGCTTGTAGTTGGGGGACATCCCTCTAGTTCTGAGACATACAACAAGAGCAGATAGATAAATACCTGTACACCAAAGTATAGTATAAAATACAGAAATCAGCTGATTCTTTAGCAATAACCATTGTTGACAGACTAAGCCTAGGCCTACGTTTAATACCGGAGTTTAAACAAAATGGAACGTTATTGTTGAGAACTGCAGTGTAAACGTGGATTAAAACGTGCATAAACATATGTTTACGAATTCTTGTGAAAAAAAATTGTGTGTTAAATCTTCGATCTTAATACAACTGGAGGTAGCATTGGCACGGCAACTCTGCTAGAAAATCGAAACGCTGTAAAATCTTGTTATGATGGTACCAACTAGTGGAATCAACCAGCACATTGGCTCATGGCTGTTTACAATCCCACAATCCCCTATTCAGCCCCTAGTTCCAATGTACTAGGTACAATGTACTCTATACTCTACCCATAGTACATAAGGCGGCCGCCGTCTCTCAATCCTCACAGTGAGTGCTACCTCAAGTATCTCCAGCTCTGTGTTGTAAATACTGAAAAACTGTCAAAACACTTTGACAAAACTATCGTTCTTTGGATTGTTGCCAACTTTTGCTCAAAACACATGTTGAAGCCCCTGTGTAGACAATGAAGATTGCTAGTTGGAACTTGAGTTTCGAATCATTTAGTGCTTTAAACCTTCCTCAAGAAAGAAAACTGTATGCCTAACCTTCGTGAAGTAAGAACTTACCTGCTCGACTACGTAAGTAGTGAAGTAATAACTATTGTTCAATACTGAATTATTTCCAATATTATTCTAAACTAAATTTATGACCCTTTTAAATTTACATCACCCTGTGTGACCTTAGGAACATGTAATTCGAGTTGAGAACATAAATCAAGGATTTTAAACTAAAATTGTAAAATTTTACTTTGAGTTGACATTTAATTTACACCTGCTTTCGTAATTTACGCCACACAACACTGTTTTGACGAACGTCCCACGCAAGTGATGAGTGGTTATAAGGTTATAAACAAAAACATAACCTCTCGGAGGCTATGACTAGTGATTGATAGTACTTAAGTCGGTGGTAATATAAAAGGATCTGTACATATATATTAGTGTGGTGTAAAATACCGTACGTCACTCGTCCAAAATGCGTTTACCGGACTCGTATGGTAATCCCGCACTCGACTTCGTCTCGCACGGGAACGACCACACTCGTCCGGTAAACACCTATTTTCAGGACTAGTAACGTAATATACTATTACGCGATACCCAATAGCTTGTCATGATTTAGCCTTGCTCAGCATTATACTGTAATTCGCTTTCATCTACAGAATAAAACTGTAGGCCTATAATTATACATTTTATGATATAGTTAACAATTAAAGTTGTTGTTGATAATACCTGTAGTATTATCTTAACGTTTGTATCTAATGTTATGAATGTTCATAAGCTAAATATTGTACAAATTCAAACTATATGATTTGATCAGCATGTATGTAATAAGTTAATATCAGTAATATCACTATTATGCAGAGTATTACTATACAGTACATACTTGATGTATAATCTACTCGGTAAAGGTCCATTTCCTATCCTGCGACTGTTAAGACTCTAGTCGCGCGGCTGAAAAAAATTGACTGCTTTAATGCAAAGTAAATGCAACCGTTTCCTATCGAGCGTCTACAGCCGCGCGACTGAAGCGACTGGAGCCGCGCGGCTGTAACGGATTTATAGTTTAAACATACGAAGTTTGAGGTGTGTACCTTTATAGATGATTCAAAGTTGATGGAACTGGTTCGTCACCACCCATACGTTCACCCCCAATACTTGAAGAAGATTTCTCTGAATAAGAATACTCTGAACCCCCTATTTTCACCGTGCCATGAACAATGGATTAGGTTGTTCATTGATTTTTGCCATGCACGTTAATAATTCCTTAAACTCCTTTTCTCCAAGTAATATATTCGCTGCCAACTGTGCTTATTCCATGACGGTCAGTGGTGCAATTTCACTAGTCACTAGTCGTGGGAGTCGTAGGAGTCGCGGCATAGGAATTGAGACAAGCGTCTCCAGCCGTACGGCTCTAGGCGCGCGACTAGAGTCGTAACAGTCGCAGGATAGGAAATGGATCTTAACGTTTGTGGTTTATCTGAGAAAAACCTGATTGTACACTAGAAATAAAATAAAAATAGGTCAAATATAACGTAAATAAGCAGTGTTATCTTTAGCTGTGCTTCATATTTTTATAATATCAGCATATAGTAATACAACTGACTAGTTTAAGTAAATTCCGAAGAAATATCGGTATTTATTATATTTTGATTTCACAATATATTGTATTTTTTAAGTATTCACAGTAATACCACATTTTATTGTCAAAGTTAGATACATGAGACGCATAACTGTGTGTCGGAATATCACAATCAATACCTGACGTACAATATCGAATGTCAGTGTACTTTAGTTCTAATTACAACAGGCTAATCTGCGCGTAGTTTGGTTCTGTCGCTTTAATTGTAGTGCTTTCATGTAATCCAGTGCAGCTTTAATTGCATTTTCCCAACTTAACCGTTCCGTAATGAGTAAATCACTTTACAAGGTTTGTACTGAAACTCACATTGCTTGGTTTTAGTCACATGGGAACGGTATTAAAATGTCTATTTAACGTCACTCCATAATAGAGAGCTGGCTGGTCTAGTGGTAGAGCTCGGGGCTTCGGAGTCCGAGGTCCCGGGTACAAGTTCCATTTAAATTTAATCAAAATCAGGCCACGGGTTGCTCTGTACACACACACATATATAGTGCACGTAAGTTTCAACTGGCAAGCCGGATACTACTTATAATACAGTACTGAAACGATGGTATTTCTAGAAAGCATTAGGATAATTTTAAACTTTTGGTGTAGTGATAATACACGTGTGCTATTTCCTTGCTAATGCTTATGTTGAATGGGTGTAGTAAGGTGTAGGGACAGGGTGGGTACCACACGCACAGTGGTTGAATGTTATATCCTATATTTATTAGTTATTTCCTCACGTCACTTCACAACTTGAATGTGTGTGTGGTGAATCGATGGCGGTCAACTATTCCCTCGATAACCGACCGTCAAACCATTACCATACAGCGTATAAACACAACTCTTTTTCAAGAGTTAATTTCAGCAACCCTTTTCGGGTTGTTGGAAAAATTGTCTATCTTTGTATGTGTGTGTATTGTATATACATCTTTATTCAAACACCTCTTCAATAAGTACATGAACGATAACTTAAACGGATTAAACTCTACAGCCCACGGAAACTAGAAAACTGTCGAATAAATAAACGGTATCACCTTTATGACACATACTTTCTTCCATTAACTTGTCAAAAACATCTATCATTGGTAAGCAGTGGGAGTAACGATATTTGAGAATGATGCATATTTGATAACGATAAAAAATTAAAAAAAGATATAGATACCATACATTACCCACATATCAATTTTCATCAAAATTGGATTACAGGTGTAGTCTGTAGCTCTGTACATATCCACACACAAAACGTATATTTACACACAGACACCGAAACCCACTTTTTTGGGTTCAGGGGGGCCCAAAACACGCACACACACACACACACACACACACACACACACATACAGGGAGGCTGAAAAGTAACTTTCACCCCCCTTAACTTTTCAACCATTTGAGATATTCGAAATCGGTTTGCGGCAACCTTCTTAGATATGAGGGGCCACAATAATTATGGTAAATTTTGAAAACTTTGCCATTAGGGTTAGTGGGGGTAGGGGGGAGCTCAAAGTTTTCAAATAGCAAGTATAGTCGAGTTTGGTATCATTTTACAGGTCTTGACGAAACAAAACAATTGACATAAAGAAAACGAAAATCGACCCACTAATAACAAAATGGCACCCTAAAACGTATCAAATCCAAATAACCATGAGGGTGGCTGAAAATCAACTTGCACCCCCCTTTATCTTTTTAACTGTTTATGATATTTGAAATCGGTTTGCGGCAACCTGCTAAGCTATGATTGGCTACAATAATGATGGTTAATTTCAAACATGTTGACCTTAGGGGTAGTGGAGGTTGGGGGTACCACTAAAAACAAAATGGCAGTTAAAAATTACTTTTAATAACCATTGTCTTAATCATTTTTAGTTGCCATTTTGTTGTTAATGGTCCGATTTCTATTTTCTTTATGTTCATTGTATAGTTATGTCAAGACCTGTAAAATGATACCAAACTCGACCATACTTCCTGTTTGAAAGTTTTAAGCTACCCCCAACCCCCACTACCCCTAAAGGTAAAATTTTTAAAATTTACCATCATTATTGTAGCCCTTCATATCGAAACAGGTTGCCGCAAACCGATTTCAAATATCTCAAATAGTTAAAAAGGTAAAGGGGGGTGCTTAAAATAATAGTAAATTCCAGCCACCCTCATGGTTATTTGGATTTGATACGTTTTAGGGTGCCATTTTGTTTTTTATTGGGTTGATTTTCGTTTTCTTTATGTCAATTGTTTTGTTTCGTCAAGACCTGTAAAATGATACCAAACTCGACTATACTTGCCATTTGAAAATTTTGAGCTACCCCCTACCCTCACTACCCCTAAGAGCAAAGTTTTCAAAATTTACCATAATTATTGTAGCCCTTCATATCTAAGAAGGTTGCCGCAAACCGATTTCAAATATCTCAAATGGTTGAAAAGTTAAGGGGGGGCGCGAGTTACTTTTCAGCCACCCTGTATATATACATGTATACCTAAAACCTAAACTGGTAAATTTTGAGGAAAAAAATACTTTCTCCACATAGGGGACTTAAGTAAAAATTGATGTTCTTATCTAAATGCTCATTAAGTGGCCATCTCTCTGTAATTAATTGTAAATCGATTTATTAGTCTAAATGTTCAGTAGAGGGACTCTGTCTCTGAAGGTGTCAGTCGATGTACCAATGCATTAGTCTGAATGCTCAATAAAGTGGCTGTCTCCCTAAAAGTGGCAGTCGATGTATTAGTCAAATGCT